AAAATGCGGACAATCCTCGGACCGAATTGAAATACCGACAAGACAAAAGGCGACGACGGAAATGCCGACATTTGGAAGGCCGCGGGGTGAAAAATCGTGACTTTTGAAACTTCGAGAGCGAAAATGCCGACCGCCAAAATGTTGGGGGAAATGGGGGGGGGGGGGGGGGGAGGAAGTGAAAATGCCGACAGGCGAAATATTCGAAGAGGGAAAATGCCGACGGCCCAAATGATGCGGTCAAAATTCGCGTTTGCGTGTCGGCCATCTGGCTTGTCGGCATTTCGGTTCTCCGCATTTAATCTGTCGGCATTTCATTTGTCGGCATTTCGGCGCTCGAAAATCCATCCGTCGGCATTTTGGGTGTCGCAATTTCATTTGCCGGCATTTTCACCGTTTCCCCGGAAAACCCCCACCCCCATACCGGGCTTGTCGTGCAACAGGTGACGGGCATCGAGTGGCCGTAGAGAGAGAGGTAGAACTTGAGCGTGTCGACGAAGAACAAGGGTGGTCGTCAGCGTCGAGCAGGCCCACGATCAGGAATTTGCTCTTAAAAAGGAGCGGATTGCACGCGAATGCTGGCAAACGGACCGTCGGGGGTGATGGCGGCACACAGCGCCTCGTCCTGCAGCTCTAGCACCCGCTTCTCGCGCATCGTCAGCCGTTTTCTGCAAGGAAAATGTTTCTAAAAACAGCCCTGTCTAGCCGTCCATGAGGAGTATCCGGTTTTTTAACGATCTAGGCGCAAAACGAAAGCTCTCAAAAAGGCGAGCCGGTCTGTTTTGCCCGATTCTCGAATTGCGGCGAACTTTTGCGCGAAAGTTGCACAGAGTTTTCTCAAAAAAACAAACAATTTAATCGTGTTAAACACCATCCAAGCTCCGTTTTCTCAAAAAAAACCAAAATTTAACAATTCCGGAAATGCGGTTTTTAAACGCTTTTCCGTTGGAAAACAGCTCCGGGAATCAGGCCCGTTTCGCCACAATACTCAGGGACGTGCGCCGTGAAAATTTGAGAATTTCGAAAAACGCACAGCAGCTTTCGGCTCGCCTTTTCCAGCAATTTTAGGTATCCTGGAAAAAGCGAGAGCGGCCGGTGAACGCGTAGCGGACGCGTCGCGTGCCCTCGGAAACCCCAGAAATCCATAGAGAAGAGCACACGCGACGCGTCCGCAGGGCCCGGCAGCCTGAAACCCACCAGTGTGCCTCGCTGGGACCAGGTGTCGTAGCCCCAGAACTTGAGCTCTTGTTGGCGGAGGCTGTCACGAAACCCCGCAAAAGGGATTGGAAAGAGTGAGACGGGTCGCGAACCGTATTGTCTGGCAGTCGGATCAATGCCCAAATCGGTCCCTCGTGCGGCGTTCGCGTTTCTCGAGACATTCACACGTCGACACCTCGAACAGGAAGAGCTGCCCCGTCTAAATTGCAGACATAAAGAGCGTATAAAAATTGTCCGCCTTCTAGCGGTCCGTAGAAAAATTAGTTTTTATCTATTTCTGTATCAATTCAAAAAGCTAGTCGATTTTCGTAATTTTTCAAATTCGAATTTTTGAATTTTTCTTTGCAATATCAGAGGGAGCTTTAAGAATCCAATTTTCAAATGAAAACAGTCTAAGGGTTTCTAAACTATTTATGCCCATTCCTAAACGTAAAACTTTACAAATTTCCTTAAAAGATAGAAAAAAACATCGATTTTTCGCCAAAATTTCGACTTTTTAACTAGGTTTTCGCCTGAAATATCGCTATATTTTAACGAAAATGCTCCCAAAATACTTTTTATCAAATTACTAGGCTTCTAGAGAAAATGTACCTTCTGCCCCCGATCAAACGGAAAGAACCTGGAATTTTTATGTGCAATTTTTAGACAGCTGCTAGCTCAAAACACCCAAAAAAAATCACGAATTTTCACAGCGGCACGCGTTAAAAAACACGTTTTTCTCAGAGCTTCCATTTGGTGCCAAAATCGTGGAAATCGGACTCGTCCCGGCGCTAGTCCAGCAAAAGCTGCACACCTTGGTGGCGGCGATGACGTGTCGATCGCCAGTGGCAAAGAGGACGGCCGTCACGTCGTCCATGCCCTCTTCTTGCAGACAATTCGCCGCCCGAAACGTCTCGACGTTCCACAGCATCACCTGAAAATGGAAGATCATCTACTGACACCAGAGAATGTACCTGATTGCCACCGCCAGTGGCCAGCAGCGAGTCGTGCGAGGCGACGCTCATCGACCGCACGTCGCCGCGATGGCCCATCTAAAAAGAGAACATAGATAGATTTTTTCGAAAAATTGCCGACCTTCTCCAAATCGGCGGCCTTCTCCACGACCACCTCGTTCGTGGCCGCGTTCAGCTTGACGTCCAGCGACTCGACCGAGTTGTTGACAAACAGGCAAAAGGCCTAGAAAGGACAGTTAGAAACTACAAAATCACGATTTTACCCGATACTGCAGAACTCCGTCGCCATGTTGGGCCGGTTGCGACGGGGCGAACGAGATCCACTTCGGCTTCGCGGCAGCCCGCCATTCGCCAACCCGCGCGAACACGAGCGTCACGTCTTTGCCGACGTCTTCTGATGACGGGCCCTCGTCGGCTCCACTGAAAATTGGTTACGTCATTTAATGCAAAAATCGATACCTATCCGCCGCTTTTCGCTTGGCTTTTCTCAACTTTTTGGAGAGCCGCTTCCGGGCCTCGTCGTCGGTGTAGACGCGGTAGAAGTCGATCAGCCGGTCCGAGCCCTAAATTGACGGGTTTTGGTACTGGTCTATTAGCGGGGGAAGGGGTCAAAAACCCAATTTTTCAAATAAAAATAGCGAAAGCTTCTCTAAACTGTTTTTTTATTATTGATAAACGTAAAAAGTTCACGTTAAAAATAGAAAACATCGATTTTTTCCACCAAAAATTGCCGATTTTTAGCCAAAATCTCGATTCTCGTTTTTGTTAGCGTTTTTGGATAGTTTTTCCAGTTCAAATTTGGCTATATTTTACCAAAAAGACTAATAAAACACCGGCGATTCAGTTGCTAGGCATTTCTAGACCAGAAAATGACGCCCCCCGATGATGGAAAAGAGCCGGGAATGCATAAAAAAACGCGAAAACTGACCAACGCGGCTACCAATTGTCCGTCGGGGCTGGCGGCGAGCTGGAGGGCCCGACCCTTGCACTGGCGCAGCACCTTGCCTCGCAGGGTGACGCGTACGAATTTCTGCAAAAATCAGAGATTTCTTAAAAACCAGCAGACCACTCACATTCTCGCAATCGCCGAGCAGTTGTGGGCCGTCGAGAGGTTTCTGCGTCTCTTTCGGCTTCTTCGAATCCGGTCCATCTTCGCCAGGCGGTAGATGACCTTCTTGTCCGCTCAACCACGTCAGGTCAAAGATGTACAGCTCGAGCTCGGAGGTGGCGACGATGAGCATCGTGTCCTCTTTCAACAGCAGAAACGAGTAGATCTAGAAGATAAAAGTAAGCGGCTATCTATGAAAAAGCACCTCAGATCGACTCTCGGTAATCGTGTAGAAACAGCTTTGCGAGGCTACATCCAGAATTTGACAAAAGTGTCCTTGCAGGCCGAGACGAGGCGCTTGTCGTCGAGCGTGAATTCGACGTGTGTGATCGATTCCTTGTGGCCGTTGAGGCGAAAGAGGCCCGTCTCTGCGACAATGTCCCACAACACGATCGAGCTGTCCTGAAAAACGATTTTTGAGGTTGAAACGCCAGCCCTAGAGTGGACTAGGGTCCGAACAACCTTTTCCGCCCTCGAAATGCCGGAAAATTCGCGTTTTTAGTTTCGCAACGTGTTTTAGAGTTTTTAGCACAATTCTGAAAGGTTAAAAACCAAAAAAGGCGATTTTTAAATGGCGAAAAAATGACATAGCGACAATGCCTAAAAAACCTTACAAAAACTGTTCAAAAAACCAGAAATTTGTGCGTTTTGGGCAGGAAAAAAAAGACTTTTCCATCGCAGCGTCGTTTTTTCCCCGGAACTTGCACGTTTTTAAAGGCAAAAGCAGCTAAAACGAATGTCAAATCACGTCCCCCATTTTTTTTGTAGAAAATCTAGGCGTGTCAGAAAAACCTTAGCGAGAAACTTCTTAAAAAACGCAGTGTTTTCCTCAGAAAGGGCGCTTATTATCTAGACAGGGATAAAAAACGTTACAAAACTAAAAACGCCACTTTTCAACGCTATCGAAATCATTCGGATTCGAACTTTCTTCCGCCTTAGCGGAGAAAAGCGATGAAAAAGCCTGCCGCACCTTTCCACCGGACGCGAGCGTCAGCCCGTCGTGGCTGAACGCCAGGCAGTTGACGCCCTTCTTGTGGCCCATGAACACGATGCACTCGTTCTGATCTAAAAGTGAAAAAGTTGGTTGGGAAAAATGATGAAGCCGACCTTCTGCTTGTCGATTGAAGAGTCGAATGGCCCCATCGGCGTATCCGATGGCCAGGAACTGCTTGTTGTGGCTGAGTCGGAGGCACGTCACTTGCTTCTCCGACTCGCTCAGCGAGGCCACCTGAATGCAATTATTGCAATCAACCAGAAAAAAACCTTTTCCCCGGTGCGGAAGTTGTAGAAGTGGACGTTCTCGCAGGCGGTGACGGCGCACGTCTGGTGGTCGACGGCCACCACGGCCCCGTTCGACGAGCCCACTAAAAAAAGTACGATAAAAACCAATTTTCGCAGCGTTTTAAACCGAAAAAAGGGGTAAAACTCGAAAAACACGAAAACAAACCCGCATTAAAGCTGCCGACATGCGCGTAGCGTAGGTACTGCTTGGTGAGGCCCATAAAGTACCTGCAAGAAAGAAGGAAGCTCTTTTGTAATAAGAAACGGTCAAGCAGAACCAAAAACGCCAAAGTTTGCAAAAATTGATACCAATCAGCGCGGACCCCCCACTTCGCGCCGGTGTAGTGTTCACCCTCCCATGGGGATGGGATCTTTCGCAAAAAGCCGAAATCACGAACCTCCGTTCCGCGCCATTCCAAAAGACGGATCCGGGCCTGGGTCCCGCAGCGCCCAGCTTGGGTGGGCCCCTTTGCCCCCTTTCACCCCCAAAAAGCTCCCTTCCGCGCCCTCCCAAGTCGCCCGCCCCACCCCCCCAAACTCCCCAAAAACCCCCCATTTTTCCCCTCCCAACCCCCCTAATCGAAAATAGAAACCTCAAAAACAGGTATAACAACTTTATTTTAGTTTTCATTTCGCAAACCCCCCCAAAAAAAAAGTCCCCCGTTTCCCTCCTCTCCAGGCTCGTTTCGTTTCGTTTGAACTTTTAGTGAAATTGAACTCTTTTCACTTCTTTTGCTACAAGCTTCTTTCACTTCTCGTTTCTCGTTTTGCCTTAAAGTTGAAGTCCAGGCTTCTACAAACATATTGCTTCTAGCCATGGAAGTCAATTTCTCGCTCGAACTTGCCAAATGTCTCGACACCCTCTCTACTATCACTCAACGCACCGAAGATTGCCAAACCGGTTAGTGATGCTGAAAATTGGTTGAAACATTTGTTTAGAAGACAGTCGGCCCCGATTCGACCCATTCGCCCAGCTGAACATGGCATTGCAGGAACAGTATAAATTCATGGAGGTTGGTCAGCCGATTTCAACAATTCATTCCATCTTTTTAGCCGTCCACTTCTACGGCCGAGGCTTCAGCGGACGGTTCGCGCGTCGTGTTCGCCAAGAACTTCCTCTTCGTCGTCAACGAGGTATTAGCAACTTTTTTAATGTCAAGCGAATGCTTTTTAGTTAACTCAACGACTCGAAGATGTCTCTAAAATCACCGGCGACCCGTGGACCTTGCTGTCGGTGCGGGATATCAGGACGATGAGGGAAACGCTTGAGCTGCTCGTTCTTTCCGGCGTCTCACCGTATCTCCAACAAGGTTTGGCTTTCATCTACGCTCGGAATCATCCTTTTTAGGCGTTGGAATCCCGGTGGAAAGCTCGAAGTTCATCGGTTCCTGGAGGCGGCCGGGCGATGAGATGGCGGCTTCCGGGTATCGATTTTGAAAGGATTTTTGCCGATTGTTTTGGCTGTTAATGTTATGGCGTTTATGAGCAAATTTCGCTATAGTTCAAGTAGAAAACGGTTGAGAAAACCCTGTAGTTCTTTAAAATTTAGCGTTTTGATTGAATCGTTGTTTTAGTATTTTTGCATAACGGTTTATCGTCTGTTTTCAAATGTTGCGCCGAAAAATGCTTAAAATTTGGGGCTTTTATCGAAAAACCGTGATTTTGGTATTTTCTCATAACAATTTATAAACTTGTTGCGCTTAGGAATACAGTACAACGCTGGTATACTTATTTCAATTCATTTGAATGCAAAAACGGTTTAGCAAACGTCGAAAAATACTAAAAATTTGTGATGTTGATCGAAAGTTGGGCATTTTGCTCGAAAAATCGCTAACTTTGTATTTTTATAGAAATTTATAGGCTTTTTAGGTTTAGGAAAAGCGTGAAATAGTAAAAAACTATTGAAGTTTATCTAATTTATTTAATTTTATTTCAGAAGTTCATTCTTTCGGTCCTGCCGTCTAATCGCTCGTCTACTCACCTCAAATCCGGCCCTCCACCACGAGCTCACCCCCAAATTCCTCGCCGACATCATTTGTGCCAATGAGCAGGTGAGGGAATATTTATAGTGTTTGATTATGCTTTTTTAGTTGATTGAACTCGGCGAGACGGGCAACGCCAAGAATTACGAGCGCTTTCTGGCGGACGTGCCCCTAGTCGAGCTGGCCGTCGAGTTGACGCTGTTGTCGCGGCCAAGAAGCCAAATCCCGATCCCCTGCTTCTTTCAGGTATCGTATTTTATTTTGAAAAGATTAAATTCCAGAAGGCGATCGGCGCACGTCTCACCTCGTTGCTGGTTCGTGACGATGGTCTCTCCGCTCTTCTCACCGCCTACAACCAAATGGGTACAAAAAAGCCCGATTTTCAAGTTTATTTTGTTTGTTTTTAGCCAACGACGCAATGTGGCAGAACGAGAAGCTGCAATTCCAGCTGGCCAAGCAGCTCGCCCTCGTCCCCCGCGGCTGCCAGCCGATCGTCTACTACGAGAAGATCGCCCGACAGCTATTACAAGTACTTTTGGTACGTTTAAAAGGTTCTTTCGCATTATCGGGGGGACCAACGTTTTTTCTTAGGGCTAATTTTTCAAATATAAGTAGTGGATGTGGTTTTCAATGGTTTTTCACTATTAAAGGGATGCCGACGGCATAGTCAATCGGTTACGCGCGGAAAAGAAAATGCCTCTGCGCCTCTCCCCTGGGCGCGCTCTCTCCCCTGTTGGCTACTTGCCAATTTGTTGATGAGGGGGGATCGACACATGCCGTCGGCAGCCCTTTAATAAACGTGAAAACTTTGCAAATTCGTATTAAAAATACCAAAGACATCGACTTTCGAGCAACATGTCGTGTTTTTAGAAGTTTTTGGATAGATTTCTGGTTGAAATTTTTTATGTATTATTGAAAACGCTTAAAACATTTTCTATGAAGTTTCTAAGCATTTCTAGACATATACAAAATAGTTCGCCCTCCCCCCCCCCCCGATAATGCGAAAGAACCGTTTAAAAGTACCCTTCGTTTTTTTGCGTTTTAAAGGCTATGTTTTTAGGCGGGCACCCTTCCGATTGGCCGGCTGATGGCGCTGTTCACCGACGAGCTGATCTGCAAGGGCGAAGCGGGCAAGCACGCCGCCAAGGTGTTCATCTTCGACCGGCTCTTCCAATTCTGGGAGGTAGTTTCTTTACGGTGATCCTTGTTTTCCCTATAACTCTAGAAATGCCGAGCAGCGTAGCAGGAAGTATTTTAATAGTATTTGTAGGGTCTATTTCTATTTCAAGTAGAAAAAAAAATCAAAAAAGACAAACATTTGAGGTAAATTTTGTTCGAAAATGGTCATTTTGGTCGAAAATTCGATATATTTTTTGTGTTTTTTATTCTAATTTTGGAAAGTTTTTACGTTTAGAGATAGTAAAAAACAGTTTAGAAACACTTGCTCTATTTGTAGGAGAAAATTGGTTCCTTAGAAAAGTCCGACACCCCCCCCGATAATGTGACAGTACCAAGATTTTTCAGTCGCTGACTCCAAAATCGGCTCCGCGTCGATGGGACGATGCTGCGGAAGGGTCGATGCGTCTGCTGGGCGCGTGGGCGCGCGAGAAACACGCTGCTCCCGCCGCATTCGCCGAGCACGGAATCCTGCGCCTTTAGAGGTATATTTCAAGAATTTTTGTGCTTGGAAAAGCGGAAATAAAGAAATGCATGGGTTTTTTGCATGAAGTGCTTCTTATTTATACTGCATTAAGTTTATTTTCTTGTAATAAAGCTTTTTTTGCGTTTTTCTTGACGATTTTTAGGTGTGATTTTTATGAAAATGATTTCGCTTTTCGTGGTTGTAAAGATAGACTTTTGTACCAGCAGTTTAGCGTTTTGTGTTGTTTTCAAGGCTTTTTGCGCTTCGCGATTCTCAAATTTTAGAATTTTACAGCCTGGCTAGCATTTTTGCTTTTTTTTGCTACATTTTAAAGTCTAGTTTTGGAGGGTTTTTTTTTTGAAAAAATGGAAGTGCAAAAATTATAAAATTTCATTGTAAAATAGGCTTTTTTGTCTTTTTTTTTCTAGATTCGGTATACACGGATTTTCTGTATTTTGTTGATTTTTTTTAGTAAAAAATGCGTCTACGGATTTTGAAGCTTTTTAGATTGCATTAATAATTATCACATTTCCAGGTGTCACCCACGCTGCTCGGGCTGCTCGATTGTGACCTGTTCGCCCCGGAAAAGCCCTCGGAGGCCATCGTGAAGCTGCGCAAGTCTCTTCTCGACATCATCACATTTGCCCTGGCGTCTGTGGAAAATCAGGTGATTTTTACTGTTTCTTTTTATACACCTTTTTTCCAGGCCGATTTCCTGTGCCGATACATGCTGCGCGGCTCGCCGGCGCCCTTCTTGGCGCTGTCGGAAACGGGCGGCCATTATGTGCAGGTTTTTGTCAATATTGTTCGTTAGAAAAATGTTGTTTTTTTAGGAACAGGGATCCGCTCGCCTCCAACTACTCGTTGCCCCCGATCCAGTCGAACACGCGGAGGAAGCGCTGTCGAAGCGTATCCGGGCGGCCACCATCTACATTCAGGTATCGCCCGTTCATTCGGGAGGCGGCTCTAAAAAACGCCTCTAGCTGTCTAGCGCTGTATTTTCACCGATTTATGTTGTAGGCACAAATCGAAAGCTCTAGAAAAGGCGCGTTTATTTTTTAGGAAATTCTTTTATTTTTGTTTGGATTGGAACAGAAATTTGGAGGCTTTTTGCGAAGTTTGTAGTTTTTTAAAAGGCAGAATTTCAACAACGGCACTCGAGTTTCGTTTTGGTCTTTCAAGCGTTTCATAGAGTTAAATTTTGTCCGGTGATTTCGTTAGTGACAATTAATTTTCGTTTTTAGAAGATCGGTGGCGCCAAGCGACCCAGCTCTCGACACGGCGCCTGTTCGCGGTGGTTGATGACGTTGTTCGTCTTTTTCATGCTCCTTCCTTCGGTTGATGCTGTTGAACAGGACCCGTTGAGGTGAGTTTACAAGGTTTTTATATCGGGGAGTTTTCGCCTTGAATTTGAATGGATTTAAACGCTTCTTTCAGGTGGAGGGACCGCCTCGAAGGGTGGTTCTGGTCCCTCGGCTGGGCGATTTCGGGCAATGCCATATGGGCGGCCATATTCAAGAAGTACCCCGGCGCCGAGGCGTGGCTAGATGTGATGGCGATCCTTGGCTTCGTCGCGCTCGCCATCTCCCTCGTCGTCCTGCTTGTCTGCGCTTGTCGCGCACCTGCCGCCCCGGCCAACCCGAACGAGGTGAGTCTTCTTTTTTCGTTTTGTGGACACGGAGCTATTAGAATTTGCCTATTTCTGATTTTTAGGTGCTGGCTTTGGGTCAGCGCGAGCCGACGTGCTGTAAAGGAGACTGTGGAAAGAACTCAGGTAGGATTTTCGCAAGCCGTTCATACATTTTCTTTTAGGACTGCCGCTCAAGCAGTGCTCTCGCTGTGCCCACCAATTCCATGAAGAGAGATGTGGCCTCAGCAAAGAAATTTGCCTTTGCCACAAAATTGATTGAGAGATTTCCCCCCAAAATTGTCCATTTGTCCCGTTTGTTTTTGCAAATTTGACTTTGCCCTACGACGCTCTCCTCCCTCCGTCCCCTGTGTACCCTTTACCCCCGAGCCACAGGCCCTGTGATTTTCGTTCTTTCCCTGCTTCTCCACAATTTTTGTTTTGGCCACTTTCTTCGCGATCCCGCGACTGCATGCGCGTGCTGAAACCAAGCCTCTCACCATCCCTGCCTCATTACCATGTTAGATTTCCATGCGTTCCCTGGTATATGAAGTCCCCTTTTCTCGGGTACTTATCAAGTTGGGGGGGGGGGCACTTTGGGTACATATTAGGAGACACTTTTTTATCGCTTTTTCGACTCTTTCTGGGGTAGTTTTTTACGCTGAGTGCAAATAGAGCCGCAACAGCATGCGAAACGGTTGGGTTTATCCAGAAAAGTCATCCCATCCGAACCCTTTCCCTCTCCACATTTATCATACTTCACCGAGGTGTCACCCCGCCGGGGACATCCTCCGAATAAATGCTGTGACCCTTCATGTCTGCTCTCCCACGCTAACGGGACATGTGGTGCCCCGGGGGATCCCGGTCGACATCTACTCGGATGTGATGCTGAACGCCGCCCCCGGGCGGGTCACGTACCCGTGTCCATCTGATGTATTCCGTGCCCGTCCTCGTTCGCCACCGAGAGGATCAAGGCGGCCGGCTTCTTCTCGTTTCAAGGGCAACATCCACGTGTGCCAGGGCCTCTTCTTCGTGTTCAAGGGCAACGTCATCGTGTACCAGGGCAACTTCGCGTCATCAAGGGCAACTCCACCGTGTTCAGGGCGCCGCTTTGTGCTAGGGCCAAGAATCCGCTGCGCCCACCGGCATCGCGGAAGGTTGGCTGGCACAAGGCGTGTGCGGGCCGATGACATGCGTGGCGACGAGTCAAGAGTAAGCGAGGGAGTAGGCGAGAGAGAGGGAGTAGGCGAGAGAGAGGGAGTAGGCGAGAGAGGGAGTAGCCGAGAGAGAGGGAGTAGCCGAGTGAGAGGGAGTAGCTGTGTGAGAGGGAGTAGCCGAGTGAGAGGGAGTAGCCGAGTGAGAGGGAGTAGGCGAGAGAGAGGGAGTAGCCGAGTGAGAGGGAGTAGACGAGAGAGAGGGAGTAGGCGAGAGAGATGAAACGAGCGATGGAGCATCGATGATATGACAGGTCGAGATGATATACTATTTTTTTTACGTTCATTTATTTGGCTGCTCCATTTCACGTTTCATTACGCCCATTATATTACACCTATATGATGACAGGTCACACATTTTTTATTTAACTGATGATTTATTATAAACATTATTGATATTTTTATTACACTACATGATTACTACGCCCACACATACTATTGTCTATTTACATTTCTTTACTACACCATTTCATTGCACCCACATTATTTTTAATGCTCTCTACACATTTACTGCTACCACACATTTTATTGCACAACAGCACATTTTTTAATGTTCCACATTTCATTACACATACATACTGTTCATTTCATTATTTTTATTGTCTAATATTTCATTGTTCATTACACATTTTTACTGGTCCATTCTATTTTTGTTTGTCACATATACATATACCATTAAGTGGGGAGTAGGCGAGAGAGAGGGAGTAGGCGAGAGAGGGAGTAGGCGAGAGAGGGATTAGGCGATTCACAACCTTTCCCAGGTATTTAAGCTGGTCGAGGAAATCGTGAACACTTGTTGTAACTTTAATTAATTTGTTCTCTACGTACCGTAATAAAATGCTTGATACCATGGTCTCCCTAGGGAGGTCGTACCATTTTTAGGAATTCCATAGAGGTGTCGTTCGAAACTGCGGGAGATTTTCAAACACCCTGTGCTGATTGATTTTATTGATCGACAAAAACGAGGTGAATCACTTTCGGCTCGCGTTCTGCACACAGGAGGCCTCCGAAGAACACTGCAAAGCACTTATTACATTTACGCGCTTTGCTTTGCAAAAAGACGTTTTCGACTGGAACTGAATATATGGGGTATGCCAAAAACGGGTTACGTTCATTTTTCCTAAAAATCATTTTTCCTAAAAGTCATTTTTCCCAAAAGTCATTTTTCCTAGAAGTCATTTTTCCTAAAGTCCATTTGGTGCTTCCAGGTTATCGAGCGTCGGTTATTTTAGCGGGGGTCGGTTGGCATCTTCTTTTTGTTTAGCCTATGCCTGTCTAGTGATAAATTGTAGTTTATTTTAATACTGTTTTTAGTAGCTTCCGAGAATCAAAAATTATAAAAATTTTTATCCTATAGTCACGAAATCTAGGGTAATAGCGCGGTTTTAGCCATTTTCATATACGTTAGACCGAAGAAGAAAAAATTTTTCAACATGTTTTATGACGTTTTTCTTAATGTCTCCTCCCCCGCTAACAGTCCAGAACCATTTCAAACGGCGCACAAGTCTATAAGAACGGCCAGCTTTTAATTAGCCGAGCCGCACGATATTATAGAAAAAAGTTCGAAACCGACCCCCGCTAAAATAACCGGCCCCAGATAACCTGGAAGCACCGTTCATTTTTCCTAAGATTTTTCATTCAATAGGGATGCGTAAGAATATTAAGAAAAGCCAAAAGCTGTCATTTTTTATTATTGGTTGTATTGTTTGGTTATTAGTTGTCTTTTATCAAAAAATTTTCTTATTATCATTAATGCTTTTTCGCTTCTAATCACCCGAATCTAGGCTAAATGTGCAACTAAAGTACTTCCTATGACCATGCTAAGCATATCTAGCAGAATACTAAAGACCTGAGCCTTTTCGGTATTTGACCGGATTTAGGAAAAATGACTTTTAGGAAAAATGAATTTAGGAAAAATGACAGTAATCCGGTATTTTTCCGCCTGCCATCCGGTCGGTTGTAAAATTGGGCCTGAGATATATGAGACCGTACATAACTACAGTCCTCACGGATAGCCCGACACATACAGTAGATTTTTAGTTACGGGCAGAATAGCCGTGTTTTCCTCGATTTACCTACATACCGCCGATTCACAGAATGCCGATTTTACATAGTTTGGGGTTTTACATACAAAATACATACCGGATCTCCATAAAAAAACATTATCCGACCTGGCCATGGCGAAACCGCCAGACCTGAGGCTTCGCTTTATTTTTAGTTTTTTTTTCTTTCTTTCCACGTAGGGATCGGGGATTAGGAGCAACTCGCAAGCATCGCGACAAGTTTCAACGCCGGCCTCATTTCGCTGGTGGGAGCGATAAAACTTTACGAATTCGTTATTATTTCTTGGTTTAGAATGTGCGGGCTGCCGTCGAGAGCAAGGGAAAACTGTTCGATAGATGACGTTAACATAGTTACTTTGTTTACTTTGCTTTGTTTACTAAGTTTTATGAAAAATAAAAGAAAAAAAGAAGGCCAAGCCTTAGGTCTCGCGGCTTCGCCCTGGCCAAGTCGGATAGTGTTATTTAAGGGAATCCGGGCTGTATTTTTGATGTAAAATCCAAATTCTGTAAAATCGACATTCTGTAAATCGGCATTATCAGCTTATAGCCAACTCTAGTACTGACCGAGAGCCCAAAAAACGGTATACCCAATTAAATGTCCGGGAATAGGTGATGGCTGGGGGTGCCACGGCTGCCGGGACACGAGTTTCGATTTTTTGTTTGTGAGACACCCTGTATTCTACAAAAATGTTTTTTGGGGAGGAGAAAGTGTTCTTTATGAAAGGGCTGCTTCTCCCAAGGCCCATCTGGGCACAAATATCTGGAATTCTCGGGAACTAACCTTTGTTCATGACGCTTATTTGGAAGTGGACCCGAAGCTCGCTCCCTGGATACGAAATATCCTAAATATGGTAATAGACGTTGGTATTTCGAAGGAGAGAGAGAGAGAGAGAGAGAGAGAGAGAGAGCGTGAGAGAGAACCTGAGGGAGAGATATAGAGAGCGTGAGAGAGAGATAGAGAGCGAGCGAGAGGCGTCCTTATAGCTCGCTTTCAGTCAACATAACAAATCACCTCTTTCTTGATCAATGCCTTGAGCATTTTAGCGTCATCTGTCCTCGCATCAACAACATCCATGGTCCCATTATAAATCGTCACGATTCGTCGTTCAAGACGTTGCTGTAACAAATTAGCAGCACGGCAAAAAGAAACGGCCCGAACCGGCACTCAACCAGTAATTGCACCCACCAAAAAAATATAAATATTGATAGGATCAGGATCCGTTGAGTTATTGAAGAGATGTGCCGTCTGCAGTACGTATAAGGTTCCTCGTTGTTGGGGCCTCGCTGGGAAAAAGCCAAGCTGAAAAGACGCATAAAAAGGCGTTGGACGGCACGCGTCGATCCCCCTTTGGGATGCGGCCATCAACCTCTGAAGGGAAAAGATATAGGGTGACTGAAAAGTTCCCACAATTTCATGTAACAGGTCAATAGACGGAAAATTCCCAAAATTTGCCTAACAGTAAGGTGTTTTTACTCAAATGGGACTTTCGATTCGGGACCAAGTGCATGTTGTGCGGAATTTTTGGCTGATTCCGAATTGAAAAACTCCAAGAAAAACTCCAAGTTGAGTAAAAACACTGTACAGTTCGGTAGTATCACAAAAGTTTTATTTACTACTTAACCAACAAATTACAAAACAAAAATCCACAAAACTGTTCGCAATTTCCACCAGTCGCTGAATACAGGGTGTCCCAAAAAAAATCCCCCCTCCCCCTAGCCGGCCGCAGACTTGTCCGATTTTACCGATTTAGGTATCTATCGAAAGCTCTCGGAAAGGCGAGTCCGGCACGTTTAGCCGATTTTCAAAATATCCGAATTTTTCTCTCATTTACTAATGTTTTTTGCGAAACGCGCGGATTTTCTGATGTTTTCCGACCAAGATGTTTTTTACAAAAATCACAATTTAATAATTTTTTATGCCTTTTCTGGCGGCGCAACGACAGCTCTCTGAAAGCCGTTTGCCAAAACACAGCTTGGATAGCGCTTAAACCGGTTAAACCTCGGTTTCCGCTGGCTCTCCGACCGGTCCCTCCGACCCTTCTTTTCCCCTCTTCCCTGCCCCTCTCCCGTCTATCGCTTGGCCTAGTGGTTTAAGGCGCTTCCCCAGACCAGCGGCCAGGATTCGGTTTTGCTCCGCGGCGAGCACCTACCGTAACTCTGCTTGCTATCCCGTGTCTAGTTGCAGGGTTGCAACCGAGCGCTTTCTAGAGCAGAAATGATGAATAAAAACTTCTTCACGGCCTTCAGAACGCAAAAAAGAAGGCTTCGGATGAAAAAGCAAAAAATAAAAATCGTGAGCGGGTCCGAACCCTCCAATAGATTCCCGAGACGCCGACTACCACACCACTAGGCCACCAGACCACGGTGGAGTGGGGGTGGGGAGGGCTTATGAAGGTCGGGTAAAAACTTTAAAGGGCTGTAACTTTGTTGTATTACAGTATCCGCAGCTAAAAGTTACATCAATCGATTCGTCTCGTCGAGCTCTACAAGATGAGCTAACTTTTAACCCGAAATTCGAGGCCGAGCGGAGACCATTCCCTAGTTAGGTCACAGCATTCCGCCCTTTACCAGTTGTGTTCGTTTGGCCGGGACAGGATGGCGGGCATACAGGGGAAGGGAGAATCTGCGCTCTGGCCCGGCCCCCGGTTCTCTCCCGCCGTGCCCTATAGCCTAGTCTCACTCTTTCGCCGCCTATTCCGCGCCCCACCCCTCCCCTGTGTGTCTGCACCCCGCCGTCTGGCGCACTATCCGCCAGCCTACTCACGAACACCGCGGAATCATGTGAGGTATGAATGTAAGCTCTAGCTCCTTTCCCCTTCGAGTTGAATTCGGCTACAGACGGACGGACGAACGGACACCACAACTTTTTTATTATAGTTGATTCTTCGAAAAAGGTCAAGGTCATTAAGCAATCCTTCGGTCAAAACATTTTCACGCTTCAGCAAAGCTGGACACTAGGTATTTCGGCCCGTTCAACTATCACTCCTTGGGGCAGTTGTAATCGGGGTTTTGCAGCTTGGGTGTTTGGGCCTCCAGCCACGTGGATTCAATTTTGTTGACATTTCGGTTGTGACCATTTTGTAACAAAAGAGCTCAGGAAAAACGGTCCATTACAGCGAAGGGTCTAAAACGGCCGTGGAAATTGCTAGGACTCGGCAACTTCCCAAGGTGTATGCGCGTTTGAATTCCAGCCGGAACACAGAATGCTAAAACGCAGGAAGCCAAAACGCAGACGCCGAGTTTGAGACACCCTGTAGTTAAGAATTTTCGCTACTCGCACCCTGGTGCGGCGTCGGGTCAGAGCCGCTTGCCCCTGACCCGAATATTTCTAAGATAACTGGATACACAGTGGTAGGCAACGGAATAAAAAAGATCAAGAAGATGCACAAACCTCGATCATTCTCAGAAAATCCGTCGAATCGTGTGGTTGGGCAGCGAAGAGGTAGACGCAGCTATTAGCTCCACTTATACCCGCGCTATTCAGCCATTCACCATTCCACATTGATGTACAGCTGGCACAGCTCCAAATATTCTCCGTCCACGGTTCCTGCAATAAATCCTCTCTCTCTCTCTCTCTCTTTCTCTCTCTCTCTCTCTCTCTCTCATTCTCTGACGTGCCACTCACCATCCTACATCGACGACAACGCACAATATCCATTAGATGGCGAGGACGCTAAAGTATGATCCTAACCAGGCCCGTATGAGGGGGGCGCCCTCGTTCCGTCCGCCCCTCCCCGTCACCGTTCGCAAAGGGATCGGAGGAACCTTTATGATTTTTCGAAAGTTGGCAGATAGGGCCCCCAGGACCCAGCTTCGTGCCTGCTTTTAAAGAGGCTCGGACGGTCCGCGTCGACGAGGTTTGGCGGTGGGATCGTCGACAGGTTCGTGTAGTAATCTGCTGTTGTTGATACTCAAGGCCATAATTAGTCCAGATGCGACATCGTTGCTGTCCTGATTGCAGCGCTTAAAACGCCACACCTCAACTGATTATTCCCCGGAGCTTCAAAAATAGAGGATTACGTGGCGTAAACTGTCGACGAGCCTTCCCCATAAGCCTCGTCGACACGGGCCATCCAAGCCCCTTTAACCATGGTTGGGCACCGTGGATCCGGTCCGGTCCGGATCGACCCAAAGGGATCTTGGAATTTTGGACCGGTCCTGCCCCGTTCGCGTGCAAATTTCGGAGTGCCTGCCGCCATGCCAAAACCAAATTTTCAAATTTTGAAAAAATTTTGTGCATGAAATAATGCATGAAAATCTCCAGAACATCGATAAAACCCAATTCTTAGAATGCCGATTTTACATAAAACCGGTTCTTAGAATGCCGAGCCAATCCTATAAGCGTGAAATGTATGTTTGTTTTCTGTGCATCCCTTTGCTCGGCCGTCATGCCGAATTTCGGGCTGATTTTTGACATGGAGGTGGAGAAACTATACTTCCCCCCACCCTGGTGCTGGGCCCCCTGGAGGGGACAGAGGGGACTGAAGGGGGATGGTGGGGGGCCCCCGGGCCCCGGGGAACCCCGGGGACCCCCCCAATGTACCGTGCCCCTACCCCCTGAGGCATGAAGGTATGGCATCTACGAGTTCCATTCGCTATGCCGAATTTTTCACTATACCGAATTTTCCGCTATCACGTTTCGCTATGCCGAATTTTGGTATGTGAATTTTCACCATGCCGAATCTTCGCCATACCAATTTGATAGCGGTATGTTCCCCATTTTTTTACTGTTTTTTCCCAATAGTGGGCCCTAAGTTAGAGTTAGCCTAGAAGTTTCCAAAAACGCAGGCAAGATCGTGGGTCCCGTAGGCCGCGGCAGATTTTCTGTGCACCGCTAAGCGTCCCAGCTGATTCCTTAAAGTTATTAATATTAGTGGCGGTGAGAGAGAGAGAGAGAGAAGAGAGAGACTGAATATTAGTAGTGCAAGTAGCAAAATTCGGCATAGCGAAATTCGGGTATAGCGGAATTCGGTAAAGTGAAAATTCAAGATACATAGCGAAATAATCTTGACATTTGCGAAAATTAAAGCATAGTGAAAATTCGGCATAGCGAAAATCCGGCATATTGACGGAAAAAATTATTAGGCATAGTGAAAATTCCGGCATAGCGAAATCTCGGCATAGCGAAAATTGTGGGGTGGGGGTGGAGGGGGGGGTGGGGGAGGGAGGGGGGAAGAATCCGGGAACCGGGGGCCCCCAGGCCCCATCCCCTTTCAGTCCCCCTCTGTCCCCCCTAGGGGGGCCACCCAGGGTGGGCGGAGAAGTATAGAGGAGAACACATACGTGCACGCCAGACGTGCATTTTTTGTTTTTCGAAATTTCTATATTTAGCAATTTTACAAGCAAAACAGTGAAAAATCCTTAACAAAGTGGGCCGCGAGCCGTGGTATTCGAAGCATTTCGAATTTCGAACTGGAATTTGGCCAACTTATGTATCTGATAGTCCGGACCACGCGCCTCTTATTAACTTGACACATCTTCAGCGGATTCAAACTAAAAAATGGAATTTTGTGGAGTGACCGGAAGCGGCCTTGCCCGTCGGCCATGATGCAGTGGATTGGCGCGCGGTCTACCACCATGCGCATGGTCGTGGGTTCGGTTCCTCGGCGAATGCAACTTTTTGGTAGCTTGGCAAGATGCTTTTGGTAATTCAACAACGAAACATATCAGGGGCTGCCGCAGGCCAAGAAGGTTCCTCGACTCAGGTTCGTGTGCCGCAGGCTCAGAAAAAGAAGGTATTTAAAAGGCCGTTCGCGAGGGACCCGAACAAGGCTTGGCACAGTTTTTTCGACCCCATTTTTTTGATGCCATCGGAAAGAGCATGTTCGAATTATGAGGGCTGCATAGTTTTGAAAGTTCAAAAAGTTTATTTTTATGGTTTAAATGGGCGTTAAAGTTGCCGACCACGAAAAACTATCTTGGAAGTTACTGAACAGAATTGGCTGAAAATTTGGGAATATACCTATTTGGAGATGGGGATCATTTCTCTAATACATTGTGAAGCCTGAAAATGACCCGAACATGGTTAAATAGCGTACTAGAAACAGTTTTTCGGGATTTGCGACTATGCGGGCGATCGGGCGCCACTCATGCGTGGTAGGAAAAATGCGCGGTATTTTCTGCGTCGAATGACGTGTCCATTATGCGGCGCTTGGTCGCCCGCATATCTTAAAAATCGCGATTATGACGCCCAAAATGGCGATTTTTAGTCGAAATCTGGTGCGGGCAGGGTGAGAGAGTGCGGCAAGCGCAGAGGACAGAGACGGCTATGTGGTCATAGTTGGGGGCTCCGGCAGCACCCGACCCGCCCTGCCCCAGGGCTGCTGTTTGCCTGTCTGGACCCTCCACGCCGCGCGCACTCTCTCGCCTGTTTGGCCTCCAAAAACCCGCAAAAATCGCCATTTTCGGTGTAATAATCGCGTTTTTTAAGATATGCGGGCAATCGACCGCCGCATAATGGACACGTCATTCGACGCAGAAAAATGTCGCGCATCTTTTCCTACCACGTTTAGGAAAAAAACCAGGGTTGAAAAGCCGCTTCGCGACTTTTCAACCCAGAATGGGGCTTTGCTGCAACCGTCATTCCAAGAATCGACATTCTAAGAATCGGCTTTATGTAAAATTGGCATTATAAAAAGCGGTTTAAGTAAAATCGGCATTATAATACGCGGCATTATGAGAATCTACCGTAGACCGTGTTCACGAGAAAGCGCGAAAGCGTACATTTAAACCGGCCGGCTAGCGCCACAGACTCAGAAAATGATACAGATGACAATTCAGGGTGGCGCACCTGGTCATGGAGGTGGAAGGATGCGGAATCAGCTCGATAATTGGCCTGGAAGTGGCGAATGAAGGTGTTCGTATTCGGCGACAAGAACAGCCATCGCACGATGCGGAACGAGCGGATAAGTGGGGCAACCTGTGACGAACATACGGAGGTGTCCCAACCCCCCCCGCTCGGAATTTGGCCGTCTTCTATCGCATCCGTGTCAAGTTTTCACCGGCGACGGAAACTCATAAAAGCTATGTGCAGCCGAATTTTCCAAGCAGGATATTGCAAAACAAAAACGTTATCGCTAAAAACCGTCTTGGCTATTTTTTCGCAATTAGCATACCGATTTTGAGTCATTTTCCGATAAATGGTGATTTTCGGTTCGGTTTCGGCTTTTCTACGGGTGGAAAAGTGCCCTATTCATTTTTGCTAAACACTTTTAGGTCGAAATTCGTCAAAATCCTAGTGAAATCGGCAAAATAAACCTTAATTCCGATTTTTTTTGTTTTACAATATTTTGCTTAGACAATTCGGCTGCACATAGTTTTGATCTTACATCAATGGGATGAGGGTCGTTGTCAATGGTCGGCTGGGGCTGACCAGGCTGAAAAAGTCGATAAAAAGATAAGAGCAAGCTACCGAGATTCTTTTGAGTATTCAAGAGGGCGGGGGTAGGCTGCTTTCACATCCCATTAAAGGGCTGCCGACGGCATGTGTCGCTCCCCCTCCCCATCAATAAATTGGCAAATAGCCAACGGGGCAGAGAGCGCGCTCCGGGGAGGGGCTCAGAACATTTTCTTTCCAGCGCGTTTCTCCGATTGACTATGCCGTCGGCATCCCTTTAACTTGACAACCCTGCGTATGGTTGGGTTTTGGCGCCACTGGTTTCCGGTGCGGGACGGGGCAGACGTATGTAGGATTGGGGACACGGAAGTCGGAAATCGGTTTTCGTCCAACGATTTAACCGTTTACGATATGCAAAGCGATCGATCGGAAATCGGTGGCGCCAAAACCCCACCCTAACCCTGCGTGTCCACGTTCAGCCCGAGTTACCTATACAGGGTGTCCCATAAAAAAGCACCCCTTCGGCATTTCGCCATATTACATCCGATCCGTCCCAAATTTGGACCAGGAGTGTAACCCTAAATAACAACAATCCTGAGTTATAGCCCGCCAGCTACAGTAATTTTCGAGATACAACAAAAATAAACTTTATTATCCTTTTTTCATACGGTTTTCGTCGGAATCGACCTTTCGAATATTAAGCGAAAATGAAGCGGCAAGCGTTCTTTACCCTTAGAAATTTTTTCCCGATAAAAATTCATCAAATATCCGTTGATTTCAAAAATTTTCGTTACCCCAAGACACACCCGAGATTAAGCGAAATTAGAGATTTGCAGCCGGAAGTCGATGCAAATCGATGCAAAGTCCAAAAAGATAGCCGAAAAAACTGTTAAGGATCTCGTAAAAAAATAGGATTTTGGCGATAACTTGAAAACTACTGTAGCAATCCGGCTATAACTCTGGATTGTGGTTGTTTATGGTCCAATACACCCTTGTGCAAAGTATCGGACCGATTGGTTGTAAGGAGGCGAATTCCGGGGCTGTTTTTTTGGGACACCCTGTAT